CGATATTAGGAAGCCACTGCAGCTATGAACTTTTAAATTATCTAGATTGATACCTAATTTCTTGAGAACTGCTTTTTGTGTTGCGTTTGTTGTCCTTCCCCCACAGCTCCGGTTAGCGCAGTGGGCTATGTACGGTGTGAAAGATGTTCGACATACATACAAAACCACTCTTGTCCCCTCTTCATGAAGCTGTCCAGTCACCTCAACGAAAAAAACACACATTTCGTCCCCGAATGCTTTTTTTGCCCCCATGTTATCTTGTTATGAACACAGTGGAAGAGAGACAGCACGGCTCCACGAGGTACAAGTTCATTCCACGGACTTACCAAGGGATTCAGTGACAGCCAGTGCTCCGGATGATGTTAGGCTAACATAGTCTATGGAATTGCATCACACATATCAAAGGTTATGTGTCGTGTGTTTTTAACAGCAGATGCCAAAATAAGCACAACACCATTTTGTTTACATTTAATGTATTCTTACAGTACAATAAATAATGTATACAATAAACACCCATGGGATATTGTAATATATTATTTTAATCGTAGAAGCCAAATTCATCAAAGCAATGCTTTTCATTTAAATTTCATACAATGCAATTAAATACCAAGATTCATACTTCATATCTAAATTAATTGAAATTTTATTAAAAAATTTTGAAATGTTTAATGTGTCATAGACAACAATGCTGAGTTAGTTTTGTGATGTTTTTTTTTTCACTGTCAGCAGTTTAATATGCAGTCATTTTCAAATCATAAAATAAGGTGGGTGGCATGTGGTTTCCAACCAATCAGAAAACTGGAAACAGATGATTACTGACAGACACGCAAGTTTTTTTTATCATATGATTCACATGTGTGTTTAAATGCGAACTAATATGTGGCAAATTTTTGTTTTCCATCATTGACAAGATCATTATATTTGCAAAATGGATGTTTTTGCTGCAAAAAGAACAGACAGTATGTGCCACTCATGTGTTCCTCCTCTGTATCCTCTTCATTCCAGTTGTCATCGTTACTTTATGACACTCGTTAGTCACTTTACTCGAGTGGCTGATTTGTGTTTTGGATGCTTGAGACAAAAATGGAGACTTATGTAATGCTAAGTGCAACGCCCCAAGTAAGGCAATACTTCATGCAACAATAAAAACGTATTCTGATAAGAAATGCATTGTCTTTCAAAGATAATATATGCATTCTGACCACAAGTATTGTGGTTAATGCAAACATGATTCCTTGTAAAAGGTTTCAGTTTGGTGTTTTAACATCTTAACACCTGTTTTGTTGCCTCCAAAAGGGGAAAACTTATTCTCATATTAAGGCAATACTTATTTTGTACGACAAATGTTTAATGCGAGCACGGTGATTACTGTGATATTTGCTTCTGTGTTGAGCTCATGTAGCACTTGTGTACAAAGCTGTTAGAAGGGGGAAGTGAGTATCGATAAATGGCCGAACCATTTACATCGTTTAATAATCAGGTGGAATCCAGATGTTTGGAGGAATGGATTGGTGGATCAAGCAGATTGTTAAACTCCCAAAGCTGCTGAATTATTAAAAGAAGCCGGGAGTTGCCATTATACCAAATATATATGTAAAAAAATATTTTGTATGGCGTTCAGAGTGTTATCCACTCATATACATGGGAATTACCCAGTTATTTGAATTGCTACCAAATTTAAAACACGAATGGAATTGTCCAAACATCCATCCTGAAAAAGGGCATCGAGAATCAGATCTGCTTTAGTGGATGCATCAATGACATTTGAGTATTCGTCTTCCACACAGTGTGGGTTGGAGGCCCTCATCCAGCAGCGGATTGACAAAAGGGATTGCTGCCCTTCATCAGCAGCATCATCATCTGTCCCTTTACCATAATGGTCATGGGGGCACCCCTTGATGCCTTGACAATCAAATGCTCCACGTTTGCCAGTCCTTCGCAGTCTATCAGATGCATACACAACTAGATGTTTACTTCAAATACAGACACACTTAACATTATAGTGGCAGAAGCTGTTGTGCAATGTTCACATTCATAACACAACGTGCAGCACATTTCAAGCCCTACTCATAATTGTGGCATTACCTAATCAGAAATCACATTGTACTTATAATATTAAAATAGGTTTCAAATATCTGCAGAACCATATAAGGCTTGGTCTTCACGTGTGGTAATGTTGTCGTATTAGATCACATCCTGAGTTTATTTGGTAAGCCCGAAAAACAATTACCGTATTTTCCCGCATATAACCCGCGGGGTATACCACTTTTTACAAACAAAACAAGAGCCTGCGGGGTATATGGAGGTGCGGGCTAACCCACAAATATTTTACACGTGTGACATGTTATAACTCGTTTAATTTTTTCATGGTAGGACTATCCACTTTGCAACACTTACCTTTGACTAAAGCACTGCTGAATAAACCACTCACAATAAAATTGCACATGTTATCATGTTTTAAATGATTCGAATTGTTTGTACAATGAAACGACAATGTTTGAAGTGGGCGCACTTTGTTTACCGGCGACGGGAGAGCGAAGGGAAGAGATAGTTGGGGGGGCAGAGGGGGTTGGGAGCGAGGCAACGGCGTTGGCGTTACCGTAGTGCCCCTATTGTCTGCGCAGTGCGCAATCTATCAGTGCTAAAACTACTTACTTATCTACCAGTTGTGTTACTTATTTATTGGATATTTACTTTTGTTACTTATGTACTGCTTTAAGTTCACTCGTTTGCGGTTCGTTTGTTTTATTTGTGCTTGTTATGATTTTAATGTTAACAATTGATTGTGGAATGTATTACAAAATGTAAACTTCGTATTAATATGATGGAATTAAGCTGCGGTAACGACGTTAAAGATATGAATGCATGTGGGGTATATGGAGGTGCGGGCTTTCTTAAATTTGTTTTACACAAAACGCAATTTTTGCGGGGGTATATGTGTCTACGGGTTATAAGCGTATGCGGGGTATATTCCGGAAAATACGGTAGTCATAGCTTTGGGCATACAGACACTGCCTGTCATGGGCATTATCTAACGTACATGTCATTTACATAAGTCATTTAATTACATTTGTAATTTTATCTAAATTATACACCTAAAAATAATTGGTCATAAATGATCAAATTTACATTTCCTCCAGTAATGTGAATGCATTTTCCCCATCTCTCAAGCTCATAATAGAGTTGGAAATGTTTAAACCGCTCAAGTAGTTTATGTTTACAATATTCCACAAATACGAATAACTTCCCTTCCATTGACAACCATGATTATGCTTGTGGTCTTATGCTAAAAATTAAAGATGACACAACAGAAACCATTGCTCTTCAAAAACACCATGTCCATTTCTTGAAGTTTATGTTCACATTACATATAATATGAATGCAAAAGTTAATGGGATCCACAAGTAGCCTCTGTATCATTTACAGTACTGTGCCCGCCACATTAACACACTTTGTTCTCCTGTAATTTAAGGCCTTATAATATGGAGGGAAATTTGAACGTTGGGAAGGTGTGTTTGAATCTAGTTATTTAGAATGATCTTGCAGAACACATAATAGACGTATTTTGGGTTAGGTCACGTAAATTTCAATGTGTCGTTAAACCCACTCCCACCCGACAGCCAATCAGTAAGGTTTGTCACGTAAACAAAACATGCCAATTAGTTACTAGTTCAGCACACCGGTGTATTCGAGAGTAAACCCTCAACATTTACAATTCGAGTACAAGGTTTCGCTGGGAATAACAATGAGCCTGATCAGACTAACCCAAACAACCCCCCCCCCCTCTCTATTTAAGGCCTCAACACAGATGCGTTGTCTTTATATGTGCCTATGTGTGTGTCTCTTTCTGTTTGTCTCTGTGTGAGTCTCTCTTTGCTTGTGTGTCTGTCCGTGTGTCTCCGTATCTATGTTTTGTCTCTCTCTCTCAAATTTAGCAATCTTTGGAAGAATGTAATCAACCAGGTGGGGTGTTGACTGTTGTGTTAGCCGACTCTCTGTGTTGTATTGCATTATAATTCTAAGTTCAGTATGTTTGTTTTCTCATTCATTTGTACCTGATGATGGTTGCTTGTGTTGCAATCGAAACTTCGTATTCTATTATTATTTAATTTAATTTCTTTCTACGTGACTTTACCGAAATAACCAAAGAGTAACCCAAATCACCTTTATTATGGATATTGGTCGAGAAAGCCTAAATGTTAAACTTGTGGAACACAGTTCTTCATAGCAATACTTGACCACCCAGAGGCCAGAGGACATCACCAGCCATTCAGGATCATATTTGTGCAGCAGACATCTCTCCCCATTTTAAAAGGAACACGTTCGTAATTATTTTCTGAGAGACAATTATCCACCGTACCATATTCTCTGAATTACAAGACACATGCTTTGTCCCGAGCGGCCACTCTATATTTTGAAAACTTACATTTCATACCTTTGTACCCTGCTTTCCTGGGATGTCATTTTCAAAATAACCCCAAAGTTTGTGGTGTATTTTACCTCCGGAGTGTCTTATTATCATGAGAATATGGTCGTTTAAAAAATAACTGTGCTATTGGTGTCTTATTCTTGGTTCTTTCGGTAAAGTCACGTAGAAGGGAAACAATTAAATAATAAAAATATAAAACAATAAAATTCTCACGACGTTTCAACTCCAACACAAGCAATCATCATCAGGTGTGAAACCACAGCAAAAAAATTATTTCGGTAAAGTCACGTAGAAGGGAAACAATAAAATAATAAAAATATAAAACAATACAATTCTCACGACGTTTCGACTGCAACACAAGCAATCATCATCAAGTGTGAAAACCACAGAAAAAATTTTTGCAAATTTTTTTGCAAATTTTCTTGCTGTGGTTTTCACACCTGATGATGATTGCTTGTGTTGCAGTCGAAACGTCGTGAGAATTGTATTGTTTCATATTTTTATTATTTTATTGTTTCCCTTCTACGTGACTTTACCGAAAGAACCAAGAATATGAATCCCTGCAGTCACGAAAGCTTTAAATCAAAATTTATTAGTGTCTTGTCGCAAGCTTTATACATTTCATTGTTGATGTCTAACAGCAATTAGCATGTGCTCGAATGATAGAGCATGACCCCGCAAGGTAATGTCGTGGATTACATTATATAAGCCTTTTAAATGGCCTCATACCCACATGAGGTAATGCCACATTTCAAATGCCCTGCAAAGTGTTTCGTTCATGGCAACCAAACTGAATTCTTTAACCCTCAGAGGGTACGAAATATGCCAAATTATCACAGCAAATCACATTTAATCATCAGTGACTGCGATGAGATCATCAGTTTGAGACCCCCGTCTAATCACGAGTGCTGTAAAGATTAAAATCCCTACTTTTTGAAGAGTTTTCTCAGTGTCCTGACATAATCGTATCCCTCTGAGCCACCGACAGGACTCAGTAACCAGTAATATAGAGGTATTGAGGTTCTTCCTATGCAGTGTGTAGCCTACTTTATATTTAATCATTAAAACTATTTGATTTGTTTCTTGTCTCAGCATAATGTTTTGTTTCTAACCTAAACGTTTGCATAGATTTGTAAGTAAATTTGCACTTACAATAAAGCAAGCCTGTTCGCCAGATTGTGGCACGAGAGAGCAAGCACTATTTCATACAATGAAGCAGCCTGAACAGACCTACTTCTCCAACACGAGAAACTTGTTGAGATTCTGAGTGACTGGTGCCTCTCGCGCTAGCACAGTGGCGGCGGGGGGCGTGGGGCTCCTGGGGCCGTGCCCGGCAGTGGCTGTGGCCATGGCGGTGGTGGAAAATCTCCCGTTGCAAGTCGTCGGCGTGAAGCCTTCGCAGGCCTGATCGGCCGTGTTGCTCGGCGAGCTCGTTCCACCACGGCCGGCGGCGGCGGCGGCGGCGGCGTCGAAGCAACAGACACAGTGGTCCTGCCCGCAGCGGCCGCTGCACCCGGCCTCCGATCCGGCGTCGCTCTCATCGTCGCCACCGCTGCTGTAGGAGCTGTCGCAGCATGACGCCTTGGCAAGCGAGCGGTGCAGCATGGGGGTTAGGCGTGGGATCCAGCTCCGTGGGACCAGGAACGTGGCCAGGTTGAAGAGGTCCACGAACACCTTGTAGCGGTCACTGGGGCAATGTGGGACATGGGTCAAGGATCAAGCAGGTCAACGGCATCGTCATCAAGGACAAAGTTCTAATTTCTTTCGACTTTATTTTTGATGCCCTCATGGTCTGGAATGCTATTGCCAATAAACTGCAACTTGGATCACTACCTGTGAGATCTTCACTAAAAACTGCTCGAGAGGAGTTGTACACCCCTAGCTGCCACTGCTATTCAGAATGGCCTGAAATCAAATGTATAATTCCGGATGACCGCTGCAAAGTATGATCTTGAGTTTTGATTATAGTGTGCTGATCTTTAAAGGTATATTGAAAAATGTTGATACTGCTATTGATACTCCTGCTGTTATGGAGTAACTCATGCAGCCAGCTATGGCTGCAAAGTTTGGTCATACATTTTATGTATATCGTTTGTTGTAAAATTTGAATCACAGTTCCAATGATCACTGTTACATTGTTTTTATAGCGTTATTTTGGTGATTTTGAAAACGTTTTGGTTTAGCCATGTTTGTTTGTTGTAGTACAGATTTAGCCTGATAACTTTAATCTAATTGTCTTGCCGTTGATGACGACCGTTTGTGTTATGGTCGAAACGTCGTGAGAATTTTTATTGTTTTATATATATTTTATTATTTTATTGTTTCCCTTCAACGTGACTTTACCGAAAGAGCTAAGAATATGAATGTCTTATGGTTGTTATTGTTTGACTTGCATCCCACTAGGATTTTTGCACACAGCGTTGAAATACGGTGTTTTTAGCTGGAAGACTTTTGCTGTTTTTTCCAGGATGTTTCTGTTGCATGTAGTCACTTTAAGATGTTTCTTGTTCATGTTTTTGTTTGTTGCGATTGCACCCGAGTCAAGAGCCGCATGGCTCACAGGGTTATACCTAATAAATGAAACTGAAAACTGAACCCACTGAGCTGTATGGCTCTTTTTTCAGAAGCGACCTAGCCATCACAAATTATAGCTCAACAAAGTGGCTTATCGTGTGGAAATTTACATCAGACAAATACTGTAAACGCGTGATGTTGATTCGAAATGTGGAGGGAAAAACGAGAGGACCCGGAAAAAAATACAGGAGACCACGGGGAAAACATTCTCACTCCAAATATACAGGTGTATACCAGGCGAGGTAGTTAACATCTCGCCATTGTGGCAAGATGTCAACGACACCTCGCCAACACTCTCTACCCGCTAAAAAGTCAGAGAGTGAGAGTAAAGAAAATGTAAAAAATAAGTCTGCATTCTTTTTTAGCTTTGAGTTCAGAAACATATCCCTTTGATTAGCACACTTGACTTGCAACCCAAAGGTGTGATCTCCCGTCGTGGCAGTTGAATCAATGTGTCAAATGATTTATACCGAGATCTGATACTGGTACCGTGCTGAACTTCATGCCAAAAATGGCACAGTTTTTATAGACCTTGGCGAACTGAGAAATACGTCCATGTTCGGTCTGTCCATGTCTGGCAAGATGTTGTCTACCTTGCCTGGTATACTGGAGGTCATGGGTTCGATCCTGATCCTATTGTTTGTATATTTGGAGTTTGCATGTTCTCCCCATGTGGTCGCGTGGATTTTTGTCTGGGTCCTCCGTTTTTTTCCTCCACATTTAAAATCAGCACGCGTTTAGAGTATCTGGCCGCTATAAATTTACACATGATAAGCCACTTCTTTGAGCTAACAGTTGTGGCCAGGTCGCTTCTGAAAACGAGCTATATTGCTCAGTGGGTCTTACCTGGTAAAATAAAAATAATAGTTTTGTTTAGTTTTCCTACTCAATACTAAGTGGCACTCATTCATGCCCTGTGTTCATCATGTGTAAATCATCAGCTATATTAATACATTTTTACTTCAAATCTTATGTTTGCTATTTGGGGAATAACTGCAGTTATTAAGCAGACTGATACCATTAACTTACGCCACTTGCAAACCTGTATTAACTATACTGCAGGTGATGACCTACATTAAAACCCGCGTCTATCTCAGGGCTCTGACATAGAAAATATCCCCAGAGCTACCTTCAAATATTACACCCTCAATATATAATGATTAAAAGGCAAAACCTTTTCTTATTTTTTCATACTTTGATACTGGCAAAAAGGTCCCATTTTGTAGCTGCTCACCCCGAGCTATACAGCCTCTGATAGTGCATTGTCTTTGTACTGTTCGCCTTTTGTCGTTCTCTGGTCTGACACTGGTGAGACGAGACAAATCATATATAATTATCAGAGCATATTTGATAGCATGTTCACCACAAGCGTGTGTGGTTAATGCAGACTTGATTCCTTGCAAAAGGTTTCTATTTGGTGTTTGAACATCTTAACACCTCCTGTTTTATTGCCAGAAAGGGTAAATCCTTTTCTTATTTTTTTATACTTTGATACCAGCAAAAAGGTCCCATTTTGCTCCTTGTATGTTAAATAAGTATTAAATAGCAGTTTTATTCAATCCTGTATTATGCTGAATAAAACAATGGGGTACACATTCATTTATACTTGAAATCACAAAGTTACTCCAACAGGTAAAATACAAAAATGCATTTTCTGTCACAATAATACAACTAATTATCCATCTATAAAAATTTACTTATTGCATTTCAGATATTTTTACAGCAAGCAGTCGGTGCAGGGAAGACAATATCTTGCAACATATGTGGTGGGAAAAAGAGTGGGGTCCACAGAGCAGAGCAAAAACGTGGCTTCTTTTTCCCTGCCAAATGTCACCTAATGTTACTTTCCTGCCAGTGCATTGGAATGTCCCGCATTTGGAAAGTGTGATGACGACAATGACAAGCATTTTTGATGTGACTTAAAACATGAATGGCAATCATTTCTCCACGATGGTGAGATGTTAAGTCCCTCGCCTCATATGCAGGAGGTCATGGGTTTGATCCCGCCCCTGATGCCTGTTGTATTTTTGGAGTTTGCATGTTCACTCTCTCTTCCCGTGGTCGTGTGGATTTATCTCCGCGTCCTCTGATTTTTCCTCTCCACGTTTAGAATCAACATCGCGCGTTTAGAGTAATTTGGCAGCTATAATTGTCCATGCAATAAGCCACTTCGTTGGGCTATCATTTGTGATGGCGAGGTTACTTCTTAAAAAGAGCTACATAGCTCAGTGGGGCTTTACCTGGTAAAATAAAAAAATAGTTTATAGTTTTAGTTTAGACTAGCAAGGGAGATAACGGAAAGGGGGATGGAGCTCACCTGACGGTGGAGCGCAGGTACTGGTAGCCCGACGATCCACCCGTCCCGGCCTTGCTGCCAATCATGCGCTGCACTAGGCACACGTGATTATCTGCATCCAATATCAGGCGTATGAGGATCAATTCAAGCCACTTCATTCGTTCAACAGGACAATCGCAAAGGTCAGCCTGTCACATTTTCTCCCCCGCAACAAACTTTTGACTGGGTAATTCCAATTCAAAGAACAATTTGTAGTGGCACAAATTGGAAAAAAAAATCCAAAAATGTGAACTAACTGCGCTATACACTTTTCAAATACGGAATTACACTGAGAGTATGCTTTGAAATCCAATCAACTACTTGTTATGCAACATGGATCAGATACGGTACATACAAATTAATAGAGAACCATAATACAGGTTTTTACGCAATCTACCCCAAAAAACCTGTATTATGTCTGATGTTTGTAGCGAAAGTCTGTAATAAATTGATAGAGAAAATGGAACAAAAACTGAAAAGTATGCAGACAAGCATGAAAATAAGCATACTGGGAATTTTCGCTGAGAGACATAATAACCACATGGATCAGAGAACAAACACAATTTCGAGATGCCATATTGATTGCTCAAAAAGCCAGTCGGCTTGTGCAGGCCACACTTTTAGAAGGGATAATGGCCAGTGTTTGAGATTAACAATGGATTAGCAACACGCCTGAGAGGATGTTAACTGTACAGATGGAGCAATGATTTCAGTTCGTGCACAAAAGCTGGATAGAGTGTTGCATCGTGAGACCATGAAGGATGGCGACATATGTGGGGTTTTATTTGTTATTTATAAATATTTTGTGTTTAGGCCGTTTTTTGGTGAGATCTTGGATGACCACATAAATGTCTGCCGAGTCAAATGCCCTTCGCAGAAGAACAAAAAGGGGATGCTCCCGTATCAAGTGGTAAAATTGTGGACACGAAAGAAGTGGTACCAGGTATGGGACAGAAATCATTGGTCATCTCTCTTAAATCTTTATGCAAATGAAATGCCTCAATCTTAAAATGATGCCTAAATAATTCTTCTATTTTTAAAATTGTTGTTAAAACTGACTTGAAAAAGTATAGACCTCTAGCCTCTGTATACACGTTCTTCATGAAGAATATTGGGGGGAAAATAATGGAAAAATTATAGGCCAGCCAAACCACACGAGCAAGGAAAGGTTTCTCTACCATCACCCACTTTCTTACTATCAATCAGATTCTGGAAGATGAATGAATATCAAATACCATTTTGCCAAGCCTTTACATTTTAACGGAAAAAAAAACACCGACTCATTACTATAACATCAAATAAAACCATTTCAAGTGAAAAACTCCCCATGGTGGGTACAATGAATACATTGTGTATGAATGTTCTACTTCGGAAAAATTTGCAGAAGACATGGCTGCCCATCAGCAACCACCGTGCACAGCATCAAAGTTTAAAAAAATTCATTGTGCCAATGAGATTTCGACATCATTGTAATGTCGTTTGAGGAGCGAGTTTTCTCCACATGTGCAAAAAGTCTCATGGCCAACAGTTTCAAAGTGGCAATGCTTTTTTTGATACGATGCTGAGCAGCATCGTGTCAAAAAGGCAACTTCATAGCCAGGCTTAAGAAGTGACTCCCACTAAGCCCCCACCACAGTAGCGCTGTGGTCTCACAGCTCTGGAATGGCAAAAAAAAAAAAAATCTTGCTCAATGAGAATCGGACATTTCTCATATCCGATGGAGCCCCAAACAAGTGGTTGAATTTCATATTCCCACCACGTGGCCAATTTCTCCCGAGGACAACCACTGTTGATTTCCGACAAAGTGGTACTTATTTTCTTTCAGTCCCAGAGAGATGACAGGTTGAGTTGACAAAGACATCCTTCGGAAGATTATAGTGACAGTGAATTCAACATTCGCCCCCTTATATCCATTGCATTCCCATTGCTCTAAACGTATTGAATAGGGTAAGTGAGAATTCATTATTTGCAATGTATTCAAATGACATACTAATGGTATGCTAATGTTACATTACAAAGCCATGGGCGCAAAGACCATTACAAACGAGGCAGAATAAAATTGCAATTAAAATTAGACGCGACAAATTAGACAAAAAAAGAATGGTGGTATTCTTGAATCAAATGACGATGCCAAATGGCGAAAAATCATCGCAGACCTTGGGGGGGTGAATTGCATAAGCCTGATTCTCTAGGCGACTGAATAAACTATCGAATGCGACTTGTGGCTTTTTCCAGGTCACTGGAGAATACGTATATTTCATGGGACCTTCTTTGCCAGTAAAACAATATGAGAATAGGTTTTCCACATTTTGTCTGGCAACAAAACAGGTGTTAAGATGTTAAAACACCAAACTGAAACCTTTTACAAGGAATCATGTCTGCATTAACAATAATACTTGTGGCCAGAATGCAAACAAAAATTATACTGTGATAATATATGCATTGTCCTTGGAACTGATTGGTCCACACCAAAGACAGCTTTCTTTTGAGCCTCGTCTCAAACGAGACTGTTACTGGAAAAGGAGATCCCATTATGTAGATACTCATCCCGAGCTCTCATTATTCTGACAGTGCACTGTATTTGGGCTGTACGCCTTTTGGCGTCCTATGGTCTAAAACCGTTTTGAGACTAGGCTCTAAAGAAAGCTGTCTGTGGTGTGGACCAATCGGTTTCAAAGATGATGCATGTATTATCAGGGTACGTTCTTTGTTTGCATTCTGACAACAAGCATTGTGGTTAATTCAGACATGATTCCTTATAAAAGGTTTCAGTTTGGGGTTTTAAGATCTTAACACCTGTTTTGTTGCCAGAAAAAAGGGGAAAACCCTATTATCATATTTTGGTACTAGCAAAGGAGGTCCCATGATGTAGATGCTCAACCCAAGCTCTCATTACTCTGATAGTGGCATTGTCTTTGGGCTGTACGCCTTTTGGCGTCATCTGGTCTAACACCGTTTGAGATGAGGCTCGAATGAAAGCTGTCTCTGGTGTGGACCAGTTTCAAGGACAATGCCACATATTATCAGTGTTGTTTTTTGTTTGCATTCTGACCAGTATTGTGCTTAATGCAGACATTATTCCTTGTTAAAGGTTTCAGTTTGGTGTTTTAACATCTGAACACCTGTTTTGTTGCCAGAAAAGGGCGAAAAACTATTATCAATGCGTTTATTATTTTGCTTGTCTATCAAGATCCTCAAAGTAGTGACTCATTTCCCGAATGCAGTATTCTAACTATCGGACCCGAATAGAAGCGTGTTGTTAATGATAGTCTTCAATTGCATGCCTTGTGAATTATCTTTATATGGAATATACTTTTATTCCTTTTTCAAAGGTTGATGAAATGTGTGTATTCATTGGGCATGCAATTGTAAAGATACACTAGTTGTTCAAATGCATCCTTCAAATTGGAACTACCTTGGCTTAGAATTTATAGTTACACACAAAGACACAATGTACTTTTCTGTGTCTCTGTGGAGCCAAAGACATGCCTAAATCAATACCATTTACAAAGAACACAATCCTAGAATGTTACACTGCAATGATCAATTTCCCGTGGGAAATAATTCTTCAGAGCCAGTAATTTCCCACATAACATCACATTTTCACTAAATAGGCCAATATGTATAATTACAGTTGGGAAATTAATTATGTTCACGTTCACTTGAGTTTAACTGTACAAATACCTTTAAATAACAATTATTTTTTAGAAACTGGGTCACTTCCAATGGATGTCAGGCTTGCACAAAATTTAGGGAGGTCAGCGACGTTGGGGCGACACGTGATGAATCCCAGCCTTGTTGCTCTTCTTCCCTCAAACCGGGAGTCGCATCTCTGCAAACATGATGAGAATGCCTTGTGCTACCTTCCCCCTTGCAGAGCCAACTAAGTGCATGCACAGCAGGAAACCCGCGATGCTTGTTTGTTTCCGTGCTGTTTACGCGAAGTTGTTTTTCGTCCAAACACACTGGCTGTACTGAAACATCGTCACCTCTCTATTTTGTTCACATTTCAAACACTGCCCGGCTGAAATAGTTTTTGACCTCTTTTGCTCACGCTGTTTTGTTTTCAAAGCACAAGGTAATTTACGGCAAACAGCTCAGACGGGTTGTTCAATGTAGTATGAACTTAAAATGTTTATAATATACATTTATGCCTTACCAACAAAAATTTACTTGCATTCCATTTTTGCTTGAAATATTCGAAAATGCCAATTCTATTTAGTTTCATACATCCAAACAACGGACAGGACTCATCCCCACCGTCCATGGCCAAAGTTTTCACGACACCACTACCCAAGGCAACCCCTTCTTTCAATATAATTATCTGCAGGGTTTGTCAAGTCTGTTTACATTCACACGATTTAATACGAACAAACAACTGCTATTGGGATATATAATTTACTAAGCAATGCTCTTCCTACATTAGCCCAGACCCTTGTATCATGATAAATAAGGCTATAGAAAAAAATATGCTATCTTGGTCGGCCGTGTTCCATCGGAATTAAGACCAGCTATTTCTGTTTGCTATGAGCAGAGCAGATGCTTGCCAACTCTCCTGATTTCATGCAATTGCGATGGCAAAAACATGTCATGTACCATTACAAGAATGGTGTGACAATCCCCGAGGGCCTCCCAACTTCGTAAATTATAATAAAACTTGTATTTCATTTAACATTTTAGAATAATCTTGATTTGAAGCTTTCGGGACTGTTTGGTTCTTTTGGTAAAGTCACGTAGGTAGAAAAATAATAGATCACGTTTCGATCGCAACACAAGCAATCATCATCAGGTGGGACAACCACAGCAAGAAAAACTGCTGAAGTAGGCGAGAGATCTGCCGTGGCACGAGGTTATATAGGCCTCGGCAGTAGGGGGGAGGAGGTGGGGGGAGAGAGGGGGCGGGGCAGAAAGTGGACCCCGTGGCAGCATCCGGGTCACTGGAGTAGAGATCGGAGAGAGATGCACAGAGAGAGAGAGAGAAAGACACACAGAGAGTCGGAGTAGGGGGGAAAGAGGAGGCTGGGCAGTGAGTGAACCCCGCGGCAGCACTTGAGTCAACGGGGGAGAGATCTGAGAGATCGAATGCAGAGGGGGAGAGACAAGAAGGTTCACCCGATCGAGTCTCTCACCTTTCTGAGAGACACCAAGGTAATACCGATCGCCTTTACACTCACATCTGCTGCTGTCACTTCTCCTAACTCTAAACGGATCTTGTTTAGGGCCAGCCTAGTTCTAGTCTCAGAGAGAAAAAAATTGCTCCGATTTGAACTTGATAATTTAGACAACATTATCTTACAATCACACTTAGAATAATCAGGAAAAAATGTTCACATCTGATTGGGACCATGTAGATAACATGACAGTTTCTTCAACTACTTCAATGTTAACCTAATGTAAAGTTAACTTGATTGCAAAATTCAACCTCCTGTCAAAAACAAAGCCAGAGCCACACCTTAAAAAGTTATATGTTAACACGATTGGCATCAATCATGGTAACATCCCAATTTATGACAGCCTAAAATTGGTACTAGCTAAAGGGTTAAATTTCGCAGTCACCCCTAAACACATCCCAGTGGATGATATCAGTGCCCAGGTCGACGTAGCCCTCAAAGGTTTTGGACACATCCCGGCAGATGTTGCTAGATCTGAAATCGCTGCTATCCTCAAAAATGCTAAGAAACCCATTAGCAACATCAGCAAGGACGAGCGTTTTGAGATGCATTTTTATTTTTTGCAAATGAGTTGTAAAAAAGCAAACTATCATATTGCCGCACTGTTGCCTTGCAGGGATCATCTCCTGCAGGCTGCATCTCTGCATTGTCCACAATGACTGCTGAAATTTCCATTGTCATGGTAGATGTCATTCTTGTGACCTCGACAGTTAATTCATGGTTGGGCAAGATACAAGCTGCACTTCGTTTTAACATCGAGGTCACGCAAGCCAGGGCACAAATTATACCCGTAAAAAACCCACACATTACTTCGTATTTAACATTTAGTCATCAGGGAACGCCTCACTGAACCTCAACTATTTTTTTAGGATGGCGCTGTTAACTTTTGCGGTGAGTGTTGACAATTGTGTTTTTCCTCGAAATAAATTTCTGGTAAGCTTTCAAATTCAGGCCATGATGCCAGCACATATGGCCTACTCTCTTTCACGTAACATCGTGGGATCTTTAACATCCAATGTGAAGCAGAATAAATGTTTCATGTACGGTTAATGTATGTTGAAGGCCAGGGAGGGTGTTGGGTCTCAATCCGCAAACCTCTGCAGCAAGATGCAGTGGCGCACTCCCATACGGCAACATTGCAAATTCCGCATAGATGGGTTCTGAACCCATTTGGCTTTATTGCCATCCCGTGGCCATCTCGCAGCCATGTGGGTTTTGGAGTTTTACAAAGATGCATAATCCACAAACCCGGCCTCCAATCTGCTGGCTCACAGGCGAGCACCAACACACATGGGCTTGCTGTTGGAAACTTTGGCAGTGTTTACTCTGTGACACTTTGCTACTTACGAAGCGAGAAGACCTGGATAAATTGTTCTATGTTCTCTGGCCAGCTGGTTTCTTTTATTTCACATAAATATAGAAGAGAGAGACAGGGAGAGGGACTCACAGCGCCACTTTGTCATGAGTGAGTCGAGATCCATGAGGCTGTTGAGCAGCTGAAAAGGCACTTGAAATCGAGGCTCTTCCCTGCAGCAAACAACACACAAGGGGCAAGACGGACATGTCAGAAAATTTCAACACCTGCCGCATGATGGCAATTTAGCGGGACATGAAAGTGAAGAAATAAAAATAGTAACGTTGCAGTAGGAGTGGGGGAAAAAGGGTTGTTTTCTTCAAAGAAGATCAATGCCTCTTTTTTTACGTGAACGTTAACAAAATATATATTTACATATTTTATATATTTTTTATGCCTTCATCACTATATAAAGGAAAGCTCAACATTTTGCCAAAACGTAATGGCAACAGAAGAAGTGTAATACAAAGTTAAAATATAATTACATTTGTAATTGGGATACCTACAGACCTTAATTTAATACAGAACAAAAATCAGAGTGCAGATTAAGTGTGATTTAGTTCAAGGTGAGGGTGGACACGATTGGGTGACGAAGCTGTGTAGTTTGAATTTAATTATGTTTTAGATTGCTTCATCCCATTATCATTATCAGCCATGATTAATCAATTTAGAATGATATGTTTACTTCTTAATTTTCCACGTTAAATTACTGGACAACTGTGAAAAAGAGCCTAACAGCTCGATGGATTTCGCCAGGATTTAATAAAGATTCCTATTCTGATGTGCACGTGACAGAGAGTCCACAGGAGTCGACTTGGTAAGCGCAGTAACCACTTTTGGCGAACCGTAGAACAAAGACGGTGGTCACCGCATCGCACGCTTTTAGGTGTGCTTCTCGCGGCGTCTGGAACGCTCTTCCGTCTGATACTTGGAAGCCACTGGAACTATGCCCTTTGAAATAATCTACATTTAAAACTCATTGCTTTAAAACTGCTTATTGTGTTTAGTTTTCTGCTCTTTCCCCGCACCTCCGATTAGCGCAGTTGGCTACATACGGTGTGAAAGAAGTTCAGCATATAGTATATATGTACAAGTGAACTTCGTGGCACTGGGAACGTAACATCTATCAACACTTGTAGAGAGCTTCAGAGCCAAAAGACCCAGTGCTCTCCAAAAGCCCCCATTTTATCCTCTTTCTCGCGGTACTCCCTGAACCTTTATAGAATATCCCCCGTCTACCCTGCTTCTTTTCTTCTCCACCAAACACCTTCCTCCTTCGTTCTCCACCCCTAACTATCCTCTACCTCATCATCCTGATTTCCCGCCTTTTACCCGAATTGAACCTCCCAGCCAATCCTCATGGTCCGCTTCCCAGCAACTGTAAAATTAATAATTAATTTCATCATGGGACCTCCCTTGCCAGTTTCAAAATTTAAGAATAGGTTTTACCCTTTCCGGCAGAAAAACAGGTTTTAAGATTTGATTTAAAGCTTTCGTGACTGCAGGGATTCATATTCTTGGTTCTTTCGGTAAAGTCACGTAAACCACAGCAAGAAAGAAAATTTTCTTGCTGTGGTTTTCACACCTGATGATGATTGCTTGTGTTGCAGTCGAAACGTCGTGAGAATTTGATTATTTAATATTTTTATGATTTTATTGTTTCCCTTATACGTGACTTTACCGAAGGAACCAAGAATATAGGTTTTAAGATGTTAAAACACCAAACAGAAACCTATTGCAAGGAATAATGTCTGCATCAACCACATATACTTGTGGTGAACATGCAAACAAAAAAATGCTCTGGTAGTATATGCATTGTTTTTTAAACTGATTGGTCCACACCAGAGACAGCTTTATTTAGACCCTAGTCGCAAACAGTGTTAGACTAGAAGTTGTTCGCCTTTGGGCGTCCTCTGGTCTTACACCGTTTGAGACAAGGCTTTAAAGAAAACTGTCTCTGGTGTGGACCAATCAGTTTCAAAGACAATGCATCATATACTACCAGAGCATGTTTTTTGTTTGCATGGCCACCACAAGTATGTGTGGTTAATGCAGACATGATTCCTTGCTAAAGGTTTGTTTGGTGTTTTAACATCTTAGCACCTGTTTTATTGCCAGAAAGGGTAAAACCTATTCCTTCATAATTAATAATCGCAAACGTGTCCCTTACATTTGTAATACTACGTGCCTCCTCAAGGCAGGTGGTTTAACGCAAAGTGAATGATCGCTTCACTCCACTTAGTAGCCTCCATCACTGGAAAATGAACCTTGATCTTCAAGGCCCATAAAGAAACGTTGAATTGTATGTGTCGTCGCCAGTTATCAAAAACCCAGAATGAAATTGATCTGATTCAGCATTACACTAAAACTATTCAATTTTTTCATTTTACCAGGTAAGGCCTAGAACTGAGCGATACAGCTCTCAAATGAGCAATACACCTGGACACAAATGATAGCTCAACGATGTGGCTTACGACGTGGAAATGTATTGCAACCAAATACTCTAAACGCACGTTTAGAAATGTTGATGGGAAAAAAAACCCGGAGGGCCCAAAGAAAAATTAACATGACCACGGGGAGAACATGCAAACTTAAAATATGCAGGCGTCAGGGTCGGGATCAGAACCTAGGTCCTCCTATATACCAGGCGAGGTAGTTAACATCTCACCACCGCAGGACCCTTGGGACCTTTCTCTTTATGTATAGTATCTGCATGTCTTTATGTATAGTATATGTATGTGTTTATGTATAGATTATGTATGTGTTTATGTATAGTATCTGCATGTCTTTATGTATAGTATATGTATGTGTTTATGTATAGTATCTGCATGTCTTTATGTATAGTATCTGCATGTCTTTATGTATAGTATATGTATGTGTTTATGTATAGTATCTGTATGTCTTTATGTATAGCATCTGCATGCCTTTATGTATAGTATCTGCATGTCTTTATGTATAGTATATGCATGTCTTTATGTATATTATCTGCATGTCTTTATGTATAGTATATGTATGTGTTTATGTATAGTATCTGCATGTCTTTATGTATAGTATCTGCATGTCTTTATGTATAGCATCTGCATGTCTTTATGTATAGTATCTGCATGTCTTTATGTATAGTATCTGCATTTTTTATGTATAGCATCTGCATGTCTTTATGTATAGTATCTGCATGTCTTTATGTATAGTATCTGCATGTCTTTATGTATAGTATTTGCATGTCTTTATGTATAGTATCTGCATGTCTTTATGTATAGTATCTGCATGTCTTTATGTATAGTATCTGCATGTCTTTATGTATAGTATCTGCATGTCTTTATGTATAGTATCTGCATGTCTTTATGTATAGTATCTGCATGTCTTTATGTATAGTATCTGCATGTCTTTATGTATAGTATCTGCATGTCTTTATGTATAGTATCTGCATGTCTTTATGCATAGTATCTGCATGTTTTAATGTATAGTATCTGTATGTCTTTATGTATAGTATCTGCATGTCTTTATGTATAGTATCTGCATGTCTTTATGTATAGTATCTGCATGTCTTTATGTATAGTATCTGCATGTCTTTATGTATAGTATCTGCATGTCTTTATGTATAGTATCTCCATGTTTTTATGTATAGTATCTGCATGTCTTTATGTATAGTATCTGCATGTCTTTATGTATAGTATCTGCATGTCTTTATGTATAGTATCTGCATGTCTTTATGTATAGTATCTGCATGTCTTTATGCATAGTATCTGCATGTTTTAATGTATAGTATCTGTATGTCTTTATGTATAGTATCTGCATGTCTTTATGTATAGTATCTGCATGTCTTTATGTATAGTATCTGCATGTCTTTATGTATAGTATCTGCATGCATTTGCTTGTGAGAGACACAGAGAGAGAGAGAAATTGTCATTCTTCCAGGGCCACTGTGTAGTTACTCCACAACCCCTACTCCTGCATCCCATACTCACTCGTGTTGCTGTCTGCGTGTGTGTTTGTGTACATATATGCATAACTCTTTGTAATGCTAATTACGCTTGTTCTGTCCCAATATAAACGTCTAAATGCACTTTGTGCATCTATTATTGATACCGGGCTAACGATCTGCAGCTCCATTCTCCCATTCTTGCAACAAGGACCTTATTTCCAGAGATGTTTAGCGATGGACAGACTGCCGGTAACATCGTGCTCTTTAAAATTGTTGAGAAATGCACAGCAGTCCGAGGCGAAGCATTCTCTGCACCTTTGAAATAAAGAAGAAAAAAAAAAACCTCCTTCAAATTACTTTCTAAATTGTGCTGTGAGGGACATGCCATGAGAAGAGGTTTCCACTGGGGTCTCTCGCGGAGCAAGCCTTTTGTGTTGGAGATTGGCCCATGGACACACGTGTCGCATGGGCAACCTGTTCTTCATTCTTCGAATGGAGGACGTTGTGCACCAAGAGTTCTTACAATTAAAAAGCTGAAAATGGTATATGCGTAGCAAAACCGAAGCTTCATATCACCGGCGTGATTGTGAGGTTACGTGTAGTAAGGCGAGGAAAGCTAGTATAAATTTCTATTCCATGGTCATTCGGTATGAGAGTTTTGCGTGGCACACGTTGAGCCTATTTTGTAAAGTCGCACTTTCATAGATTTGATTCAATGTGACACAACGTGTAAATAATTGCGGACAAAATCTGCATCTCGTGCGCTGCCGCACCTCCGATTAGCATGATAGGCTGAATACAGTGCAAAAGAAGTTCTAAATACTTATTTAGTGATGGTGGCAAGTGTAGTTAACACAACCCTGCCAGTTAACACACCCTGCCACCTTGAGTACCACGTTCACCTCTCTCATGTTCGTATGTGATGGGGATTATATAGATTTTAGTTTTTCTCCTGCTTAAGTTTTTTTGCGGTTGTGCCGGACATCTCTCTCATGTGTTTTTGGGTCGTACCGCCTGTTGCTTGGCATGATGTTCTACGTTTCACTGCATGAACTGGGAGCTTCTGCAGGAACCTGGAAACACATTGGAGAACTATTTTTGTTGTTCTTGTATTCTTCCTTTCATTGGGCATATTTCCCTCTCCACGGTTTAGAGCAGTTAACTACCTCGCCTGGTATACAGGAGGTTGTGGGTTCGATCCCGACTCTGACACCTGTATATTTGGAGTTTCCGTGTCTCTCTCCCCGTGTGGTCGTGTGGATTTTTCTCCGGGGCCTCCGGTTTTTCCCTCCACATTGAGATACATGCGTTTTGCGAATTTGGCTGCTATACATTTACACGTGATAAGCCTGTTCGTTTGTGGCCAGGTCGCTTTTGAAAAATAGCTATTTCACTCAGTGGGCCTTACCTAGTAAAATAAAAAAAATTAAACTTTTAGTTTAGTTCATACTTTTTCTGCTTCTTCCCCATTATTTCCCTGCTCCACAACCACCGCTTATCTGGCCTCTCAAGCACCTGGGATTTCCTTAATTTTGTTGTATCACGGTTGCTGAGCACAGGACCCAAAGGCCCAAACCACCGAGCGGCCAGTAACAAACAGCACTGTTGAGTGTGCAATAGACAAAAGTGAATGCGTTCCTTGAATTGAGCGTGGTCAGGGATCGGCAACCGAAATAATTAGGTAAAAAACTCGATACTTCAAGAGCCGCAATGCACATGATGAATACGAGACGGTGGTCCTTAATAGATTATGCCACGGTGCAGTCCTGGATCTGCAGGTTGCCAACCCCTGGGCATGGTCATAGGGACTTTCGGAAATTCCACACCCAGTGTTGGTGGAGCCTCGAACGGGACCTGCCTGCCAGATAACGCGGTGGCAGTGAAGTTTCCATGGTCACTGTATGGTGGCCCTGGGACTATAATAGACCATGTGGTGATACAAGGACTCTCCTGGGGCGTACCTCCGAGACAATTTATGAGAGGGCGTGGGGGTTTGAGTTCCGAAGTTCGAATCCCGCTCACGGCCACCAACACCAGTAACGATTATCTGAACCAGTCTTGGGCCTCCCCTATGTTGACTTGGCCTCAAATGAGTGCCTGATGTGGTGTGTAGTACACATCATCACTGGGGAGACAAAGGCGATTGGACGTGGTGCTGGCAACCCACCCCCTCGTGTGCCGTGCTGGCCTTCATAGGTACTCGCTAACTGCACTTACCCGAACAGTCTATGAAGGCTATACGGGAGATCTTTGCCTTTGTGTGGGTCTGAGAAGTGGTGTGTAGCGTCTGAGCGATGGTGCCGTGAATTGTCGATGGAACTGTCTGTTAATAGCATCTTGCTACTGGGGCTTGGATTTGTTTGAGCCCTGTGCACCGTGGGTTATATTTCTTGATGTTGCCCTACACGCATTATTACTTTCGTTTATGTTTTAACTTCACACTGCTTTGTCAATCCATTGTTAGATTAAGGCATTCCTATGTCTTGTTTGTCATAGAGGTTATTTCAGCATACTTCACCACGCTGGTCATTCCTCGTCAAAGAGCTGCTTAATTCGATGGGTCTTAAGCAGCTGAAATAAAGTCTGAGTGAGTCAATGGGGCATAGATGGGATAGTGCGGCCCACGGCCGGCCACCGATGCAAGTTTTGGCTCGAAATTTAACTCAGGTCGCCGTGTTCATGTATGTATGTATGTTGAACTTCTTTCGGACCATACATAGCCAACCATGCTCTTCGGAGGTGCGGGGAAATACAACAAACTAAACACCAAAAACAGTTCTTAAGACATTAGTTTTCAATCTAGCTGGTTTAAAAGTGCATTGCTCCAAGCGGCTTCCTAATATTGGAAGGAAGAGCGTTCTGGACGGCCGCAGAGGCACATCTGAAAACGCGCCATGCGGTGACCCACCATCTTTGTTCGATGGCCAGCCAGAAGCCGTTGCTGCAAGGATGACCGGAGTTCGCGTGATGGGTTATGCTCCTCGTGCAGTATGCTCACCACTTCACCAGCACTCCACTGCTTTTGCTCCAATTTTTCCGAATTGTTTCCCCCCTCGGTGTTTTGTGTCTAGCATTTGCATTGTAACACACTTTGAGATTCTGTTGGCAATGGTGTAGCTTGCTGATAAATGTTAAAAGCATAAAACATTTCGATTTAAAGCTTTCGTGACTGCAGGGATTCATCTTCTGGGTTCTTTCGGGTAAAGTCACGTTGAATGGGAATAAAATAATAATAACAGAATAAAATTCTCACGACGTTTTGGCCACAACACAAGTAGCCTTCCTCAGGTGAAGAAACAGGACTGTCCAGAAGACAGCGCTTGTCTCTGGAATGGAACTTTCTACAAACAAACTGAGGGCACCCCAATGGGCTCCCCCCTATCGCCGGTTGTAGCCAACGTTTTCATGTAAAAATTTGAGACTGACGCCATCCAGACTGCCACTCTATGCCCGACCTTATGGAAGAGGTACGTGGATAACACTTTTGTCATCTGGCCACATGGCCGGCCTGCTCTAGACCAATTCCTCGACCACATCAATTCCATACACCCAGCCATACGATTTACCATGGAAGTCGAAAAAGATGGCAAGCTATCCTTTTTGGATGTCCTAATTAAAAGGAAACCTGATGGTTCAATGGGCCACTCTGTCTACAGGAAAGCTACCCATACGGATTCTTACTTAAAACCGGATTCCCACCACCATCCATCCCAGAAGAATTCCCTCATCAAGACTCTATACCATAGAGCCCAGTGCATTTGCGACCAGGAACACATTGCTAGTGAACTCAAGCACGTACACCAAGCTCTCAAGGCTAATGGTTACTCCTCTTGAGGAGCCATTCAAAACCATCACCTTACCCTACATTGCGGGGGTCACAAAAGAGATCTCCAAAATCATGAATAAACACAAGATCCAGGTCCGATTCAACACAGTACGTAAAATCCGTGATCTGGTTCCGTCTGTAAAAGATGTGGTTCCAGACATACAGTACCCGACCGTCTACAAACTAAGTTGTCTCTGTGGTAGCAGCTACATTGGAGAAACCAAACGACATATCTCGGACCGCATCCGTGAGCATAAAGCAGACTTGAAACACGATCGGACGAACAACTCAGCTGTGGCAGATCACTGTTATAATTCAGTGAGCTCACATGACATTGACTTCTCCAAGACGGAGGTTATCTGCAAGCCATCCGGCTACCATGAGATATTCGTTCATGAGGCTATCCACATATACAAACACAGAGACAATTTCAACCGAGAAGATGGATTCTGGCTTAGTAACCATTGGAAAGACGTTATAAACCATTTCGGTTCTTGATTGATTGTATTTTACGGTGACTTTCAGACCGCAGTCCATTCGCTGGCACTGCCTATTAGTACCTATCACACACACGACGGTCAATAGTATAGTTTATAGCATTTGTATAATAATAAATAGTATAACAGTGTAATGTTTAACATAATTCATAAGGCAATATATAGTACCGTAATTGTATAGTGAATATACAGCAGTGTGGTATATAGTAGGGTTAATATAATAATACATAGTGTAATACTACAAGTCTAATATTTTATAGTCTAAAATATAGGGTAGTGTATAGTAACGCATTGTAAAATTCAAGGGTGAGATTTGTCTATGGATACGATATTATACAATGTAGTTTAGATTGGAAGGTATAATATTGTATTGTAGTCAAGTTTATAGCATAGTTATAACGCAACGCAGGACAGAGCAGCACACCGTGGCTGCTACCTTCTCTTCCCCCCCCCCCCTTCCGTTCCGAACATTGATGGACTCGTCCGTCTGAACACAAGCTCGTCGTTCTCCGTGGTGTTAATCCCTCATACTAACATCATGCTAATCCCCCAGTTACATGCTAATTTACTATTGATATGTAAACTGCTGCTAATCCTTCACACCAACATTATGTTAGTCCCCCAGTTACATGCTAATTTATATGTAAACTCCTCTCCCCCCTCCCCTCGTCCGTCTGAACATAGCTCGTCGCTCTCCGTGGTGCTAATCCCTCACACCAAAATCATGCTAATCCTCCAGTTACATGCTAATGTATACGATAACTCCTTTGTCAAGGCGCTCTGTTCCTCCCACACAGCTTAAAAGACGCTGTCCATGCTTGGCAGTGTTCACTCAAGCGCTGTCTTCCAGACAGTCCTGTTTTTTCACCTGAGGAAGGCTACTTGTGTTGTGGCCGAAACGTCGTGAGAATTTTATTCTGTTATTATTATTTTTATTATTTTATTCCCATTCTACATGACTTTACCGAAAGAACCCAGAACATGAAACATTTATTGAACAATTTTCAATGCAAAATATTACCCTTGAAGGTCTGTCAGGCTCGAGGCTAGTACCCATTAAATACACATTCTGAGTATGTGTATATTTTAACAAATTATAAATGAGAGCGATAACACTGTATATCACTCTGAAGTCATTTGCCATATATTGCACAATTTTGTCAGCTAATTTTCTCTTTCTGTATCAAACGCAACTGTAGTCTCTGCAACTGATGGATAAACCTCTAACTCTTCGTGCAGAGGGGTCAAGACTTGCAGGGTCAGCGTGGACTCAGTCTGCCGGACAGGCCGGTGTGTGTAGGACAGACACCGCGTCACAGAGCTGCTGGGACCTAGGTTACATTTTCCATTTTCTGACGAGAGAATTACTCTGCTCTCCTGCCCCTTGACATCTCTGCGGAATTGCAAGTGACACTTCATGTTCTCTTTGTAGATTGCTAATATGCGTACAAGAGATCACGTGCGCACACGTTGTGCTTTTTACCTGTAGAAATAAATCATTAAGGCTCCCTGCAGGGCCTTGTATGACAGTCGTCGAGTTCCTGAAAAACACACCAGACAATCCGCGTGCGAGTTAAATTTACGAGCATGCAACACGCATGGCTGTGTTCACCGGCACCGCTGTGAGAAAGCAGGATGGTGATGATGCTGCTGCTGCGTCGGCAGTCAGAATGGTAATCTTTATTTATCCCTTGGAGCTATGAAGCTCTTTTTCGCAAATGTCCAACGGTGGTGGACAAATAAAGGAAAAACTTAACGCATTCATCAATAACAACGCATCATGTGCAATGAAGAAGGGTTATTACCGAAAATATCGCCTGTTTTATGTATAGTGTCAATGATGCATGTTTCGATTTAAAGCTTTCGTGACTGCAAGGATTCATCTTCTTTGGTTCTTTCGGTAAAGTCACGCAGAATGAGAATAATAAGTGAGAATTTTATTGCGTTATTTTATTTTATCAATTTATTATTTTATTCTCATTCTACGTGACTTTACCGAAAGAACCAAAGAAAATGATGCATGTGTTGAGTTTTTGTGAGAGTAGGGATCAAGGAAATTTGTCATTAAATAGCAGGTGCACTGTAAGTGATGCTTAATGGTTAAACATACAAATTGTTGACTTTGAAGCTCATAAATTGGAAGGCAAAATTACGGCACAAGGCAAGGCTAAGCAGAAAGGAAGTTGATCATTGAAAGAAAACACCAACTCGTAGTTTTTGTTCTATTTTTCAATGCATTGAGTAAAATTATTGTATTCTGTGATTAGTCAATGAATCATAATAATTATATTATTACGTTTTCCAGATGGAGCCACACAGCTTGCACGATTGAGCAAATAAAACTATTGGATAACATTGCCTACCTCCAGAAGTTTCCATCACAGTAAGTTGGAGACATGATGTACTTAATGTAGCCTAATTACGATATTTGGCTTTATTTTATACGGTACATGGCAATGACATTGAGAGACAGATTAGTGACATTCAAACTGTAAATAAAAGTAAGTGGATTTGGGCAGGACAGATCGCAAGTGGGGATTATGACCAACGGTCATTCAGCTCATGTGTAGGCGCTATAGATTCTTTAGGTGACAGCTTGGGGGTTTTGTCATCCAGCAGTGGATTAATCACGGATATTGATATTGGTCAATTATTTACAATACGTTAAACATCATACACAACCGGAACACCTCTACCCTGAATAAGTAGCTTTGAGAGATTTTACTTACCTTTAGATATTACATTTTTAAATATGACTGAATAAAGCACTATTTTTACCATAAAGTCCACTACAAATACTCTTTGGTTCTATTCGGTAAAGTCACGTAGGTAAAAAATAAAAAAACAAAAATCGAATAGAACCAAAGAGTATGGATCCTTGCAGTCACGAAAGCTGCAAATCTAGAATCCACTACAAATACTTTGTTTTGCTATGTCTGAAGGTGTTCAGGTGAAATAAAATAACTCTAATTCACTCCAAATTATGTGGTATGGTGGCGAGATGTTATCACCCTCGCATGCTATGAAGGAGCTCGTGGGTTCGATCCTGACCCTGACGCTTATACATTTGGAATGTGCATGTTCTCCCCGTGGTCGTGTTGATTTTTCCGCGGGTCCTCCAGTTTTTCCCTTCACATTTAGAATCGACATGCGTTGAGAGCAGTATTCGTCACTTATTTTCAAAGAGGGGCCACTTTTGCCGTTAAGACATCAGTGTGAGGCCGCAACACATTTGAAACTATTTGGTTTGACAGCATGATGGGATGTTTTCACTCCTTGTGTATTGTCGGGGTCCGCATGTCAGGGGCCGCACTAAAGGCTGCCAGTGGCCCGTGGGACCTTGCAATGAAGAACACTGGTTTAGAGTATTTGGCTGCGAAAAATGTTCACGTGATAAATTCTCCCAAACACAGCTGCCAGCAGTGGCAGAGCATGCTTGCCAAAAAGGACATCCAATCGAAGTGTTATGCAAAAATAATTATTACTGGCCAAGATTAGTTAGAGAATCAATTGAAATTAAGAAGAATTCAAATAATTTTAATCGCTGTGATAGCTATAGACTCAGCGCAGCCTGGAAGCGTATTATTCAGGAATACACAACACATTGCAATTCCTTACAGGTGAGTCACATGCTAAGTGGCTGATTACTGAACTATTATATCACCCCCATCGCCTCTGATCTCGGATCCTGATGGGGTTCAACAATGATGGCATCATCCTCCACTATTTAAGACCGGAAGCAGGTGGATGGCTTCACTATTCTTTCAAATCGCCCGAAGATGCTGGATGTAATGTCCAGCAAAACGTCAAACTCAAATTGTAAATGTTGTGGATCCACTCTTCAACACACCGGTGGACCAAAGTAGAGAACTATTTGTCTTTTTTTTATTTAAAGGTTTCGTGACAGCAGTAATTCATATTCTTAGCTCTTTCGGTAAAGTCACGTTGAAGGGAAACAATAAAATAATAAAAAATATATAAAACAATAAAAATTCTCACGACGTTTCGACCATAACACAAACGGTCGTCATCAGGTGTGTCGGTTTTGCAAAGGTGTGTCGGTTTTGATGACGACCGTTTGTGTTATGGTCGAAACGTCGTGATAATTTTTATTGTTTTATATATATTTTATTATTTTATTGTTTCCCTTCAACGTGACTTTACCGAAAGAGCTAAGAATATTTGTCTTTTGTCAACGTGACACATTTTTTACTGATTGTCTGTGTCGGGTGGTGAAGGGTTGTGACACATTTATAAATTAATACGATCTAACTCAAAAAACCAAAAAACCTTTAATGTATTATGAACTAGCTTATATACCCGGCGTTGCCCGGGCCAAAAAAAGTATTCAAAACTACTCTTAAAAATCTAACAGCAGTGCGTACTGACTGTGGTGGTACCTGCTATGATTACAGCAGTGCATACCGACTGTGGTGGTACCTGCTATCACTACAGTAGTACATGCTGACTCTATAGCAGTATTTATCGACTCTATAGCACAAAGTACTCACCCGACAGAGTGGCGTGGTGAGGCCTAGTCCCGTGCCGAGCCTTCGGCCTCACCTAAATTGTCCAACCAGCCGAGGTGGCACCTTGGCAGGCTGGGGCTGCTACCCCTGACCCCCCCCCCCCCCCCCCAGCCACAATCTCCCCGGACGCTCTGCAGTAATAGCATCTACCGACTGTATAGTAGTAACTGCATGCATCGGGGTGGGGGGGGACATCACACAGTGAATAATTTACCTGAGAGTTTAGTGTATTTTTATAGTATTGACCGATTTACTCCCACCGAAGGCGTGCGACTTGACATGGGCTGTCGCCCCCAGCAAAGGCGCGTGAGTTGCTATGGTCGTGCATGCGCCATAAATACATAAATACAATGGAAGCGCACTAAATCGCTAATTAAACTAATTAAAAGTTGACGGATGTGAAAAAGGAAGTGCTTGCTCACGGCGGGGCTTACGGCGTGGTACCTGGCTATTTTTATTTTAAGTAAACCCCACCGTTGGAGAGCCAAATCCTTCGCAAGCACCCTAACACACAAGCAAAACCACAAAAAACCGCCACAAACCCACAAACAATGTTTTACTTTCATATATGTAGATAATACTGGTCACGAAAGCCTACGAGTTAAACTGAAGCGACTTCGTTTGTACTATCATTTGTGGCCAGGTCGCTTCTGGAAAAGAGCTACATGGCTCAGTGTTGCTTTACCTGGTGAAATAAATTTTAAAAAAATTAAGAGGACAGTTATAGTAGCATTCCTGCTTTACTTTACAATTCCCCTTGGGTGAAAGCAATCTAGCAGCTGCGAATGCCTCGCCTGTCCTGTTCACGATGTGGAGCCTGCAGCAGCACGAGCCCGGGGCCAGGGACAGGGACGAGCGAGCCCCCCGTCGCACGCTCGCCTGGATGCGGAGGCGACCTCCGACCCCCACCCGCACGTGCGCCGCACACTAACACGCCCAGAGCCACCCTCTCGCACAGCCACTGCAACATAATGGCATCCATCATTGGTTTCCTGTGCCACTTATGCACAGATTAACATTCCCCTATGGCCAAGATATTGTTCAATAATAGCCGAAATATTGCAGAGTGATTCCTCGTTCCACGCACTTCCACTATTTGAAATAATTCAACTCTTACATGTATCTGTGGTAAGGCTTGCAACCCAATTAGAAATTACCGTAAGTATTTTGGACATTTCAGAATAGATATGGTATGTGAAGTTAAATTATTTAATTTTACTGCTTCGATGTTTTGCTTGTTAATTTGTTTTGTTTTTCATTTCGTTTAGCTATGTAGGTTTTGGATGCTGCCGTGGTGGGGTCATGGTTAGCACATTGGACATCCAGAGGCTGCGGGGTCCAAACCTCCATGCGGCGGATGAAATAACAGGGCATGCAAGTACGTTTCTTAAATCCCTACAAAGGACAACTTGGCAGAACCCTCCTAAAAAAATGGTTGCGATGCAGTGATGCTTTCCTGGGCAATAGGCATACCAATAATAGTAATAAATTACCCCGCAACTCTATCAATGTAAATAGGTACACAACAATCGTTCTGAAGATCGTGTGGTGGGGTAAAGTGTGGGCACTCCCACACTACCAAAAACCCCTCTGGAGGAGCTCTTTGAAGCTCCCTTAAGTGGAAGCCCTTCCACCAGCAGTGGCGTGAGCAGGACATTGCAGGGCTGCTCTATTTAACCCATACTTATCATGAATGTTCAGTTGTAGCGCATGTTCAGTGTGTCAACGAGAGGGTCATTTGAAGCAGTGCAAGACAGCGTCTCGGGGAATATTGCCTCTTCATAGGTTTCTGCAACAGGCAGGGCCTGGGCATGCATTTTGTTCTGAGCCTTATCACCACAGCTAATGCAGTGGCACTAAGCACCACAGCCCAACACCCCTGGGGCAAAACAAAAGAAATGGGAGAAAATGTCTCTTTCGTGCTGCGGGGCTCCCTGGATGTAATTTGACAGCCAATCGCGCATCACAGGAAACATCGACCCCAGCTGCTTCGGCCGTTACACTCAGTCCAA